AATGTAATACCTAGAAGAATCATTAAAATGGTTCCAAAGAGATACATTCAGAAACACTATACATAAATAAAATGGAATTCTAAAAAATGTTCAAGTAACTTATAAGAAAGCTGGAAAAAGAAAATAGAAAAACAAAAACAGAACAGATAACAAAAAATAAAATGGAAGATTAAGCTCTACATACCAATAATTATATTAAACATAAAGGTCTAAGTATACCAACGAAAAAATAGAAATTTTCAGAGTGGATTACAAAATATGACCTAACTCGGGCACCTGGGTGGCTCAGTCAGTTAAGTGTCTGCTTTCAGCTCAGATCATGATCCCAGGGTCCTGGGATTGAGTCCCGCATCAGGCTCCTTAATCAGAGAGGAGTCTGCTTCTCCCTCTGCCTGCCGCTCCCCCTGCTTGTGCTCTCTCTCTCTCTCTCTCGTTCTCTCTCGCTCTCAAATAAACAAATAAAATCCTTTAAAAAAAATATGACCTAACTCTATGCTGTCTACAAGAAACTCACTTCAAATATACTGATATAGGTAGGTTAAAAGTAAAAGGACAGACAGAAGATAATATCATGCAAACATTAATCAAACGCAAGCAAGAGTGACTATATTAATATGAGATAGATTTCAGAGCAAAGAAAATTACCAGAGATAGAAAAGGACATTTTATAACCATTAAAAGGGTAAACCCATCAAGAAGACATAGCAATACTAAATGGATTAAAAACAACCACAAAATGTGTGAAGCAAAAATGCATTAAAACTGAAAAGAGAAATATGGGTGATCACCACAAGTATAGGTGGTGACTTCAACATTCTTCTCTCAACAATGGGTAAAACAAGTAGAAAATCAGCAAGGATAACAGAAGGACTCAACAACACCATCAACCAACAGGTACTAATCAACATTTAAAGAACACTCCAACCCACAACAGAAGAATACCCTTTCAAATGCCCACAGAACATATACCAAGATAAATCATATCCTGGGCCATGACACAGAGAATACAGTACCTTCCCCAACCACAATGGAATCAAACTAGAGATCTCCAAACACCTGGAAACTAAGCAATACATTTCTAAATAATCCATGGATCAAAGAGGAAATCTCAAGGAAAATTTTAAAAGATACATAGAAATGAATGAAAGTATAATACAACGTATCAAAATTTGTGGGACACAGCTACAGCCATGCTGAGAGGAAAATTTATAGTAGTTAACATGTATGTTAGAAAAGGGGAAAGGTCTCAAATCAATAATCTAAACTCCCACCTTAAGAACCTAGAAAAAGAGGAGCAAAATAAAACCAAAGCAAGCAGAAGGAAGGAAATACAGAGTAGAAATCAATGAGATTGAAAACAGAAAATAGAGAAAAATCAATGAAACAAAGCACTGGTTCTTTGAAAAGATCAAGAAAATCAACAAACTTCTAGCAAGACTGATGAGGCTGAAAGACAGATATCAAAGGATAATACAGGAATACCACAGATAACTTCACACACATATAGTTGACAACTTAGATGAAATGGTGAATTCCTCAAAAACTACTACAGCTCAAGTAATACAAAAAGATTATTTGACCAGCCTTATAACTTTTAAGAACATTGAATTTGTCATTTAAAAACTCAAAAAAGAAAAAAATCCCCAGGCCCTGATGGTTTCACTGGGAACTTCTACCAACCATTTAAGGAATTAACACCAATTCTACACAGTCTTCTAGAAAAAGGAAGAAATCTTTTCAATCTATTTTATGAAGCTAGCATTACCCTGATACCAAAACCCAACAAAGACAATATGTAAATTTAAAAAAACCTACAGACCAATTTCCTTCATGAACATAGATGCAAAAATCCTAAACAAAATATGATAAAATATAATTTGGCAGCATGTAAAAAGAATTATACACCATGACAAAGTAGGGTTTATGCTAGGGATGGAAGGTCGACTCAATATTTGAAAATCAATCAGTGTAATTAATAGGCTAAAGAAGAAAAATCACTTGATTGTGTCATCTCATCTTTCAGACTTCTAAATGTTGAAGTGTTGAGGACTCAGTCATTGGGCCTCTCTTCTTTCCTTTTATTTACTTGAGAGAGAGAGAGAGAGAGAGTACACACGCACACGTGCATGAGCTGAGGAGGGGCAGAGGAGGAGGGAGAAGCAGGCTCCCTGCGGAACAGGAAGCCTGATGTGGTGGGGGGGGGACTCGATCCCAGGACTCCGGGATTTTTACGACCTGAGCCTGAGGCAGACGCTTAACTGACTGAGCCACCCAGGCGCCCCAACCTCTCTTCTTTCTACACCTATTCCCCCTTATGACTCCCACATTTATATCTCTAACTCTATCAGATCTCTTCTTTGAACTCCAGACCCATAAATCCAACTGCTTATGAGAGAAGCTCTACCTGGATAAGGCATTTCCACCTGGACATATACAAATCTAAACTCTTGCTTTTACTCCCCAAGCCAGCTCTTTCTGCAATTCAGTAAATGCAAACTCCCATTTTTATGGTTGCTTAGGCTGAAACCTAAGGAGCCACACAGACTCATCTTTGTTTTACAGATCTAATTTGTCAGCAAATCCTGTTCTACCTCTAAAAGACAGAATCCTCAGAATCCGACCCTCTCTCACCACCTCCACCCTGGTCTGAGTCATCCTTTCACCTGGGTTATTACAACAGCTGCTCAACTGCTCTTCCTGCTTCTACCCATGAAGCCTTGCTGTTCTCTGCTTAACAGCCACAGTGCTCCTCTTCTGCTCAAAAGCAGTGAGCAAACTCTCATTTCATTCAGAGTATTATCCAAAAATCCTTCCTATTGCTTACAAGTCCCCACGTGATATGGTCCATGTCATGTGGTCCCTGGCTACTTTTCTGAGCTCATTTCCAGCCTTTTGGTTCATATCATTCCAGCCTTACCATCCTTCTTGCTGTTCCTCAAAAATGCCAACAATGGTCTAACAATTGCACTTGGTTTTCCCTCTGCCTGGAACAACATTCCACCATACAGCAAGTGACTTGTTCTCTTGTTTCTTTCAGGGCTCTGATCAAATGTCACCCTATCTGTGAGGACTTTTCTGACCAGCATATATAATAGACTCCTATCCTCCCACAAATGCATTCCTCATCTTCCTTATCCTCCTTGATTTTTATTCAAGGTAGGTATCATTTTCTGACTTGTTTTATACTTGCATGTTTTTTTAGCCGATCTTCTCTTGTAGAAGGTAAGCTTCTGGGGACATAGATTCTTTTTGCTTAAAATAGTGCTTGAGACATAGTGCTCAAAAATTATTTGCCGAAAGAATCAGTGGCTCAGGAGTGAAGACTTTAGGATCAGACATCAGATAACCTTGATTTAACTCCTAGCTCTGTCATTTTCTCTGTCCAAGTGATATTGGACAGATTACTCACCCATGTTTTACGTTTTCTCATCTTTCAAATAGTGATAATAATCCTCATCCCACAAAACTGTTGTGGGGATTAATAAAACAAAGTATGTAATGTGCTTAGTACAAAGTGACTTGGTGTTAAGTGTTCAGTATTTGACAGTGCTAATTAATATAGAAACATGGTCTAGATTTGGACTCAAAGGCCCTAATTACGATTATGACTAGATATTGACTGTGTAATTTTAGGGCATTCACCTTTTTTATATTAATTCACGTAATCAGCTATGAATAAGGTGGCAGGATGAGGAAAAGAGATAAGATGCAGTCTTTTCCCTCTAATCTTAGTTATGTGATCTTGGGTAGTTCGCCTAACCTCTCTGTCCCATTTCCTCATTTGCCAAATGAGAGTAACATAATAACTGCCTTACAGCTTTGTCATGAGGATTAAATGCGTTACTATGTGAAAACAATGTCTAGCCCATAGCAATTGCTCCCTATGTTGGCTATGATTATGATGATTATGATGATTCTAGTCTGGAAGAGGATCGAAAGCATCTAAGCAAAGAACTACGATACGGTGCAGTGAGAGAAAGAACAGTCATCAACTAGAATGTCTCTTAACTGGAGTTTGCCCATAACTGGTAAGTTCCACGATAATCAGGAAATTTTAAAACTGTTATGTCTACAATAACCTAACTCCCTACTACCAACCCAATAGCAGTTGGAAAGACAAATGTCTCTGATTTGATAACTGGAATTTAAAACTTTTAAAAAAATAGGTAAAGAGGTCACAGTCTCAAATAGTGTTTTAAAGGAGGTCAATGGAACCATTGACTTCCCTGCCCCCACCCTCAAAAAAGTTAACATATTGCTTAAATTTCAGAAACATTCAAATGGACCCCCCAGAGGGCAAGGGCAGCATGTAATTCCCTGAACGAAGCAACCAAATTAAGGGCACAAAGGTGTATTTTATGGCGGTGCTGTCACAGACTAAACGTCAGAACAGGACATTAAAGGGTGGTCCTGGAGGTTGAGTGGGAGCACACCAGGTGAGGCGGGGGGGAGGCGTCACCTTTGGAGAAAGAACAGCAAGAGCCAAGGCGTGAAAAGTGCACGTGGGTGGCTTGGCACAACCAAAGCTTTGGGGTGGGGGGGAGGTGGACAGCCAGAGAGCAGGACGTGTACGGAGAAGAGTGCGGCCTGGGGCTTACCAGATGAGGGAGAGAGTCCCCCCTCCCGTACCCTGTCCTGATCACTCAGCATCAGTGTCCCCTCGGGATTCCCCTCTAAGAGCTCCCGGTTGTTCGGTTACCTCTCGCTCCCGCCACTCTTCCCTTACCTCGTCTTCCAGCCTTTCCCTCACTCTCCCGCCTCCTCCGCCCCGCCGGAAGTGACGTGCTAACTAGCGCGCCGTACAGCGCCAGAAAGGTTCTGCCAGAGCGGGAGAAAGGGTTCCGGTGAGCCTCACTGCGCCTGCGTGCGGGCGCGAGCGGTCAAAGCGCCTTCCGGAGGCAGCCGAACTGTTCTTTCCTCCCAGTCTGTCGCTTTCGAAGTACCCTGAGCGAGGTTCAGGGAGGCCGCCGCCACTGGAGGGGCATTTTTTTGTGGCTCTGACGCCTCCCTGTGCGCAGCTACTCCGGCCCTTGCCCTTTGACCCTGCTTGCGGTGGGGTGAGAGGTCGGTGGCCATCTTGTGGCGGCGGCGCGGGCGGCTGTTACTGCGGAGACCCATCCCCTCCCCCTCCTTACCCCCTGGCCGTCTGTCAGTCAGTAAAGAGCCCCGCAGGCAGTCAGGTGAGGCCCCGGCCTCGTGCCGTCACTCTTCCCGCCGCACTGGGCGGCCCAGGCCGCTCCCTGCAGGGCCCCGCCGCCGCCACCATGTCCTCCTTCTCCGAGTCGGCGTTGGAGAAGAAGCTCTCGGAGCTGAGCAACTCTCAACAGAGCGTACAGACCCTGTCCCTGTGGCTCATCCACCACCGCAAGCACGCGGGACCCATCGTCTCTGTGTGGCACCGCGAGCTCCGCAAAGGTAAACACCCCCTGCGCAGCCCCTTGGGCCCTCCCCCGGATTGACCTCTCCCCAGCCCACTCCCGAGGCTCCTCTAGCTTCTTAGTTGAGGCTTGCTTTCCAAGCCTGGGCCTCTGATTACGCTTCTGAGGTTGGAGACAATGTTATCCCCATTTCTCGGAGAAGGAAACTGAGGCCCGGGAAGGTTTAAGATACTTGTCTGAAGTTCCCAGAGTCCCAGTTCATCCAGCCCTTTTCCCCGCAGGCTACTCCTGACACTTGTGACTATTATTATCTCGACAGCCTTGTAGAGGGCACTGGCCCTAGGCTGTTGTGTGCCAGGCGCTTTGCTGGGCTTTTGGAATAAGAGCCAGAGGACTCTGGAGAAAGACTGCCTAGGTCGAGTCCTGGCTTAGCTACTTATTAGCTGAGTGATGTTGGGCTAGTTTCTTCATCTCTCTGTGCTTCTGTTTTCTCATCTGTAAAACGAGGACAAGGATGGCTGCCACTTACAGAGCCTTTAATCTGTGCCAGTCACTATGCTAAGACTTTTACGAATATCCTCACTTAGTCCTCAGAACAGCTCTGTGAAGTGGGTACAGTTACCCCCATTATGGAGGCGTTAAGGGGCCGCACTACCTAGACCTTATCTCTCAGGCTCCTCTTCTCCATGCATCTTTCGTTGATTCTAGACCCTGCTCAGGATCTGACAGGCATTCATTGAGCTCAGCCTGTTATGTGCCAGGCACTGGGTTGGATGCTTGATAACATGTTGACTCCAGAGGCCATCTGCCTGGAATTTAAACCTGATTTTGCCATTCACTGACCCCAGCAGCCTAGCCTCTCTGACCCTCAGTTTCCTTACCTATAAAATGGAGGTGATGAAAACTGATATTTACTGTGCCTTTAATTATGTGCCAGGTGCAGTACTGATATCTTTACATACATTGTCATTTTTTAAATTCTCAGAGTTCTCTGGAGTAGGAACTTTGCAGATGAGGAAAAACTGAGGCTCAAACAACTTGCTGTGGTAAGGAGTAAACAGGATAATCCAAATGAACATCTAGCATGGTGTCAAGCACAGTATAGGCATTTCATAAATAATGGTGAAATGGGACTACTGATTACTCAATGTGAGGCATGGTCTTTGCCTTCAAGTTGCTTACAGTCTGGTGGGGAAGGATAGGCACCTTCACAGCTGTTACCCTAATGATTCCATAGCAGAAAGCTGAGGAAATGGAGCTTAGAACAACTTTGGGCAGCCTCTGCGCAGTAGGCCCTTTATAGTATAGGAAGTAACTTTACATGTGTTTTCCACTATCTGTGAGATGGAGATCCCACCTAAATGGTTAAGCGGTATTTTCAATTCCTTAGAACTTGTGAGGCTAGACTACATCAGACACCAAAATCCAAGATTCTTTCAGGAGACTTTGTTCTAGCCTTCTAGCAGACTCCCCTCTCCACAAATACGTGCTGTACTGAGATAGGGGTCCCCTCTGGGTAGTTGGGGGCTAGAGCCTGGAGCCCCCAGATCCTCCTCCTTGTAACCTATTTGAGTTATGGAAAATAACAGTTTAGAGAGTGCATTCATCTGTGAAGCTCCTTTAACCCTAATCTCATGATCCTAATTTCATGGAACTTTATGTTTTAAGGAGACCAGCATTATTATCTCCCATATTATACATGAGAATGTAAAGATGCGGAGAGATTGAGTGCTTTGTTTAGGGGCATGTAGCTGGAGCCCAGCGCCCTCTGATGCCAAAATTTGTGCTTTCAAGTACCCAGTGCCTCAGTGCCCTTTAATAAATGAAGGTGATCATCTGACTCCAACCAAACCCATAGCACTTTTGTTGATTAGAATTAGTCACTGTATCCCACCCCATCCCATACTAATTTAGCATTTATTTCATTCTTACTAGTTCTTTTTCACTAGATTTGTGTTTTGAGGGAGAAACTAGGGCTTCTTGTTTCTTTGTAATACCCATAGCATTTAGCATGGTGCCTTTTAACACAGTTTAAAAATAGGTTAGAAGTTCAATTGTGGTCTCCAACATCATTTTCATGGTTGAGTAGAGGATCCAAACAGCACTACCTAATGCAGCTTTCTGTGAGATGTCTTATATCCTTAATGCCCAGCAAGGTATGCCCTTGCCACAATGCGGCTCTTGAGCACTTGAAATGTGTGACTAAGGAACTAAAGTTTTAAATAATTGTGATAGTTACAATTCAAGTGTTCAATAGCCATATGTGGCTACTGGCTACCATATTGGATAGTGCCAAGGTAGAGGATGCTCTTCCAAGCATCAGGATACAGCTTCCTAATACCCAGGCTTCCTTCATGAATAGAGAATGCCCCCACACTGAAGTGGAAAAAGATTTTGTGCCCTTATGCTCAAATTGACTAGCCCCTTAGATTCTGGCCCACCCTGAGTCTTTAAAAGTGGACATTTCTATCTGTGGTCAAGTCATTTTCCCTAAGATGTTTACAGACCATCTCTGAGTCGCCTTCAAAATATTTACAGGGTTTAAAGAAATTATTATTATTATTATTTGCTTAAATACTACTTTTATTCTTAATGGGTTATTGTCTTTCTACTTTCTAGGAATAATTCTTAAATTTATCCCTTTGGGCTCTGTCCTAGGTAGAACTTCCCTTCTTTATGGAGAAGTTTGATGTAAAATGCTCTTAAATGAATATTTTTTAGTAATGTTTTTATTTGTTGACCTGAATGCAGATAAATAGGCTTTTTTTCCCCCCAACTCTTTTAGATGTCAAAACCAGCTAAACAAATTGAATTTTTTGGTCAGCTAGTTATATGAATTTTGCCTAATAACTACTCCATCCCATTTGGATGCGGCATAGATAGGGGATGAAAGGATCTATTATATCATACTGGAAGGACATCTGAATAAGTGAGTTGTCACTTGGGACTAGAGTAGAGGGTGTGAGTATTCAAGTGCTCTGGGCTTTGTCATATCACCTTTACACACATGGTATTTATGTTGGCTTCAGGATGCTGGATGTAGAGGGATAAAGTTTGACTAAATAAATCCCCCATTGCAAAGTTTGAGGATGATGAAAATTAATTGGCATCATAAATAGTGAAAACTTTGGCTTTCTGGCCTCTTGGCTATCATGTTTGCAGCACTGAAAAAAATGTATCATGTCTTAATTGTCCAAATTGGCATTTTATACAATGGATTCTGGGTTTTTAAACATAAAATATATGGCATTTGTAAAGCTTTGCTTAATCAGATTACCTTTGTTGAAGTTCTTTTGTACTTTTGAATCCGCTAACTTACGGCATTATAGACTTGGTAGTTTTATTTGTTGCAACATCCCAGGACAAGGTTTACTTTAAAAAAAGAAAAGCCTTTGCCATAATGATACCTTTGTAGCAACAGTAGAATATTGTAACTATTGACACTTTTGATCTGCTTTTGAATAATAATTAGAACAGTTAAAGATTAAGTATTATCATCAGTTAGCCATGTAAACTAGGTTATTGACAGAAGGCTGATAAAACTCAGGATAGCCATATTTAATTTTATGAATACTTTGTCATCACTTTAAACTATTACATGCTTTTAAAATCTTGTTTTTAACTTGGGTTATTCTTCTGTAGCTACCTTTAAAAATGTCACATCTTATGCCTGCTGTGTCAGAATTTATACATGCTGTGTGCATTTCAAAAGAAACAAGTGGTTTCTGAGAGGAATAGAGTAAGGACTAGTTTTTCAGGTATGTAAAGGTTGATATAAGGCTTGCTTGAGTTTTTCAGGTATTTTACATTGGAGAAAACGTAGTGTTTTGGACTGTCTGATTATATTCTTATTTATTTCTTTTAAAAGAAAACTGGGACCAAAAATGATAGTGATGTTGAGAAGTTATGTGCATAGAAGCCAGGAAATTCAGTAATGTTCCCCTAAGCAACTGTAACTCAGACATAGTGCATGAGGTTTTTATGGTTTAATATATGATGCCATATAGAGTAATAGGAAATACTACATTTAGTATGTATAAGAGAGAAGAATTATGGTTTCTGTGGGAGCCATAATTTTGCATATCCAGAATTCAGACACCTTTAAATTTGCATTAATAATGTAGCATTAGTATATATTTATATTTGAGATAAATATGCATTGGTGCATTTAGAGATTTCTATGAATTGTAGAATTGATATCATTGATGATTGTTATTGGAATGTTCAAAGAGAAATTATCAGTGTAGGAACATAAATTATAAGAATCTATTTTAAAACTGAAACCTGGCTCAGTCTTTTCATTCTGCAGTATTTGGTAATTAAGAGTGAATTAAAAATGCTCATCTTTACAATAGAATAAATGAAAACCTTGGTTTTAATATGTCTTCTTGAGGATATTGACTGCTTATCCTTTAGGAATTTTCTTTGGATTATCTTTATTTTTACCATCAATTATTCTGGTTAAAATATCACAGAAATGAAGATGGCCCATTCTTGTTTTGTTTTTCAAACTTGTATTCTCAAACCTGTTTTGTTAGTGATGTCAATAAGTTATTTAAGTTGTTGTTTCAAACATAAAGGAACCCTGATCTCAAGTAAATAATGCTTAATATTCTTTAGGAGTAGCTTAGGGCAGAAGAATTGTGGATTGAGAATTTCCTTGGTGTAAATTAAATTATCTTTTTTTCTTTTTTCCAGCCAAATCAAATAGAAAGCTTACTTTTCTGTACTTAGCCAATGATGTCATCCAAAACAGTAAAAGGAAAGGACCTGAATTCACTAGAGAATTTGAATCTGTCCTTGTGGATGCTTTTTCTCATGTTGCCAGGTATGTTGTCTGGTTTTTTTGTTTGGTTTGGTATTTAAATGCATTATCCTTTCCTCTTTACTGTTCTTTCCTTCTCTGGGAGAGCCTTTGCAAATTGACAACTTCATATTTTACAGGGTTGTGCTTTACAGTGTTGTAGAGGCCAAATTACAGTTTTATGTTTTGCTGGGCCCTTAAGTACTGTCTCAGACGTGTAAACATTTTGATGCATTGAAAGGATTGAGTCTAGCACTTGTAGAACATCTTTTTCCCTAGATGTATTCATTTATTTGAATTCATTTCTTGACTGTGGTGTTTTCCTTGGCTTGGCTGAGTTGTCTCATTAGCTTATAGTCAGAAAACAAATTTAAATAGTACCAGGAAACATTCCAGTAACAAAACCTTAATAGCAAGATATTAGTTGGTTATGCCTCATTTTTACTTCTTTCCTTCTAAATGTCTAGATGTCTCATTTACTAAAAATAGTGGTCATTACTGTAACTGCAAAGATAATAATTATCAGTGTGAAAAGTAGATACTTGCCCTGGCTATATCATATTAAATCTCTGCCACTCTTATGTTTTGTGAACAAGAAGACTAGAGCATAGAGCACACATGTAGCTAATATCACCTGAAATTCATTTGATTAAAACTTCTATAAATCACTTTATTTAAAAATAAACTGCTTTTCTGTAGACACAAGTTAGTTGTCCAGGAGGAGCAAACAAAAACTATTTTTCACTAGAATATTACTTAGTAAACATATAAGAAACATCTTTGCAAAAGGAAATTGGGAAGGGCAAAAAAAGAAGGAGACCAGTTGGTTAAAATTGTCCTAGGGTGTGAAGTATAAGTGAAAGCCTCAAATGTGTAAATGAGTCCAGCATTCCATGAAAGATTTCAGAATTTTGAAGGGATAAAATGGAAAATCCAAAAGAAAGAAATGATATCTAGTTTTCTAGAGATGAGAAAAGATTTTTGTTTGTCAACTACGTAGCTGGCCCCTACTTTTGATGAACATGGGCACTGAAGCAGCAGAATGCATTATGATCTTGAAACAATCCTGAATCCTTATAGCAGAGTAAACTTGGAACAGACTGCTAGAATAGCTGTCTCAAATTGGAGCCCTGGCATTTTCTTGTTTTGAGGAAATGTAGTTAAGTTTCTTTGGCTGTAGCTCTGCCTCCAGCACTGTCTCAGTGACCTTGGATGTGTTACTTCGCTTTTACTAACACCTCAGTTACAAGTTTTCTAACTGATTAGAAGGGGATGACATCACCTCCCTCACTGAAGTTGTTGTGGGGTGGAAGTACACCAGTCTGTTTGAAAACACGTAGTACAGTGCCCAGTCCCCGGTCTTTGCTCAGTTACGGAAATATGCTAAATTGTAAACTTTGTGGCAAGAAGGACCATTTCTTTTTTGTTCTTCACTGTGTCCCAGGCACCTAGTAACATGTCTGCCTGGCACAGAGCTGTCAGGTTACATGGCTTTAGGGAATACCATTTATGTAGCCTTGGTGTGATTGGTGTGCCAGGAGTTGGGCAACGTTGTGGTCTGCCCTGGCATAGTAAGGATTCAGTAAATATTTGTTGAATGAATTAATTTGGGTATAGGGAATTGACTAAAATAATTTCCTGTAGGGATAGTACACATAACATTTTTATTTAAAAACTGAACAATAATCATTAACTGCCCCCCAAACCAGGAAAGGGTAAGTAGAAAGGAGTAGGAGAAGGGGAATGGGCAATACTGGGATTGAAAATTCCTTTTCTACTTGGTATAACATCTTAAAGCCTATCTAGGAGGTGCTGTAAAAATGTCTTGGCAGATTTCTATGGCATTATGGGGAAAGTAAATCTGGTCCTTTTCAATGAAAAAAAAAAAAAGCACTAATTCCTTTTTTTTTTTTTCTTCTTCATTCTTCTTGTTTTTTTAAGGTCCTTTTTGGGTAGTAGGTTCAGGATCCCCATGTTTCTAAGCCCTTCCCTCCCACCATTGTTAGAACAGAAAAGCCAGCAACTCCACTTTAATCCTGATGTACCTTATCCAGGGTGAGAAGTACTCTGTGTGACTTTCTGTGCCCAGTTGAAGAACAAAGATAGTGGACCCATTAATATTGAGCCAAATTGATTAGGAATCTTTTTATGGTAATTTCCTACCTCCTCCCTGACCTCCCCCCCCCAAAAAACCCAAACCAAACCTCTGAAGTCAGAGGAAGTGGCCAAGTTCATAGGTTAGATTTAATTTGAATAGCAGTTTAATTAACTGGACTTTGAACTTTTTTCCCCCACACAAATGCCTTCTTATTTTCTTCTGAGTTTGGAGATAGTTGTGCACTTTGTTTTTCATTCCGCATATATTTGAGTGCCTTCTATGTCCCAAGTACTGATGCAGACGCTAGAGGAGTAGCAGTGAGCAAGTCAGGCAAGGACAAATAAACAAGCAAGATACTTTCAGAGGGTGATAATATGGACATGATGAAATAGAATGACATTCTGGAGTGGGATCTCTTCTAGTGTGGTTAAGGAAGGCCTCTCTAAGGAAATGACATTTGAGATAATCATACGAAGTAGGAACAAACAGCTATTAAAAAGAACCTAAGGTAGAAATAATCTTGGCGTGTTAAGAGGATCAGAATGAAGGCCAGTGTGGTTAAAACAGTTGTGTTGAGCAAAGAGAAAAGCGGCATCTGGATAAGATCAGAGAGGTAGGCAGGTGCCAGTCACTTATGTCTTATAAGCCTTGGGAGAGAGGATTTTATTCTGATGGGACGTCAGTGATGGGTATTAAGCAGGGGAAAGATACATTCCATCACATGGTTAAGAGGTCCCTGTGGCTTGGTGTGGAGAATGGATTATAAAGGCCAAGGACATGCGTATGAAGGGTATTGCTTTACTACAGTCTAGAGATGACGTTGGCTAGGACTCAGAGCAGTGAGAAGATAGTAAGCTTCCAGATTATCGAATGTTTACTTTGTGAATGGATTTGCCTCACCTCCCCCACGTAAAACTGATAGGATTTGTGGGAGTTGAGCGGGAACTGGTAGTGAAGGAAAAGAGAAATCAGATTATTTCTAGGTTTTTGACATGACTAAGGAGATGGCTGCTAGTGCTATTTGCTGAGATGAAGTTTGGGGAAAAGATGTGGTAGAGGAAGTCGGGAGTTTTGTTTTGGCCATGCTAAGTTTGAGATGGCTAGTAGATATTCCCAGGGGTGATGCCAGATAGGTAGATGGATGAAGTCGTCTGAAGCTCAGTAGGAAATTAATTTCTGGAGACATAAATTTGGAGTTATCACCAAAAACATACTTATTTACTATCGTGTCACGGATTCCCCAGGCTACTTCCAGGTTTGGTGACTTGCTAGGAGGACTCACAAGACTCACAGTATAGTTGTCCCTATGGCTATGATTTATTAGTGAAAGGATACAAGGCAAAATCAGCAAAGGAAAAGTTGCATGGGCTGCAGTCCAGAGGAAACCACGTATAAGCTTCCAAGAGTCCTCTCATAGTGGAGTCACACAAAACATACTAAATTCCTCCGTTTTTGAGTTGTGACAACATGTGTGAAGTGTTGTGTACCTGGGAAGCTCATTAGAGACTCAGTGCCCAGGGTTTTTATTGGCGTTGGCCACAGGTACCCTCTGCCAAAATTCCCAACTTTCAGAAAGAAAATAGGTATTCAGCATAAATTATATTGTTTGCACAAACACTTTAGGCACAGTAAACCATGATTATCAATTAGGAAATTCAGGAACACTCCTTCCAGATGCCAGCCAAGAGCCAGCATGGTGAGCAGGACTTTCTAAGGGTGGCAGTCTCAGGCTTGCTCTTTTCTGCATGATTGGCAATGGAACATTTCTGCTCCAGTTTCACGGGAGGCTCTTTTGGAAGTGCTGGGGATATTTAGAAAGAATTCCTACCTTTAGTAGGCTTATCACGGGGCTACTGTGCAGGGGATAAGACAGAAACACACAAATTATAGTGGGTATACCAAGGACGTGCCATTAGACCACAGAGGAAGAAAAGGTCCCCGAGTTAGCTTGGTGAGGCCTCAGCTGACACTTCAATTCTGTGTGTATAATACACAGTTTATACTTTTCAGATCGAATTTATAATTAGAATTAAAAATGCATACTAAGTTGTGTTTCATATAAGTTATACTTAATCATTTTCTGCTTATTCATTGATTAATGGCAAGGACTTTTTGGTGTTTTTTCACTTAAAGATTTCTCAGTTTAGAATGGAGTTAATGCAACCTGTAAAGATAGTTCTGTCTGTTATGAAACTACTTTATTGCTTTAGTTGTACCCACTTCCAAGTGCTAATGGGACTTCAGTTCATTGGAGCTACTTTGGGCAAAACCTCGTGAGTAAAAAGATTTCTTGACTATTTTATCTGTAGCTTTGAAACTTACTTGGCCAAACTTTGATGTACTATATTGCTCCAGAAATTAGCCTATCCTAGCTAATTACATTCATCAGTTAAACTAGAGCTCCTTTTTTTTTTTTGCCTTTAGTGGTAAAAGCTTTATGAAAATGACTTGGATTTTACAGGTTTGTGTATCAGTTTCCATTGCATATAGTAATGTGGCTGAATCTGTACCCCAAATCAGTCTTAATCTAAATTGAGTCCCAAATATTTAGTCTGCATTGTATCCCCCCCCTTAACTAAATCCTTGATAAGAATTTGTTGTCATGATAGGTTTCTCTTTCTATTAAGTGAACAGAGAATTTGCAGAGAACAGGTTATATGTTAAAAGCATCAACCAGTTAAGTTCTGATTAGTTGTGATTTGGTTATACTAATTATTTTATTTTCTAAGTCATTCATTTGATCTCATCAGAGACTTCCCATTGCTTCAGGATAAAGGCCACATACTTAATATGGTGTTCAGGGCCCTCATGATCTAATTCCACTCTGTCCTTCCAGATTCTTCTGCTATTTCCACATACTCCTTATATACTTAAGCCACCTGCATTACTTCCAACTTCTCCCTCTTCACCTTGTTCTCCTTTGGGGGTTCCATTCAAAGGAGAGGAGATAACATGAGCAAAGGCACATGCGTGATGAGAGGGAGCAAGTTCTGAGCAGAAGATACATGTGGTTAAAGTGCCCTGGTTGGGATGTGGAAAGGGAAGGGGCTACTGGGTCAGGCCCTAGAGGTCAGGCCCTAGGCCTTGTTCTTTGTATTACAAACACAGTATTTCATAAACCTCACTGAATGATCAGGTAAGTGTTTAGCCAATGTCTGATAGGAGTGGCTTTGTTGTGGGAAGATGATTGTTGAAAGGTAACTAATTGTATGGCCTTTCGAAATCTAACTAAAAATTTTCGAGAAAGATTAAAATGAGGCCAATATTGTGCCTGTTCTAGGGTGGGTAGCAGGGGGTGGGGGAGAGGACAAATCGCTGCCCTTGTGGAAGTTGCATTCAAATGGACAGTTTTTTATGGGAAATCAAATAAATAAAAAAAATGAGATCAAATAAACAATGAGTAAACTAAATAGCATAGCAGAAGCAAGTTGTATGGAGAAAAATTAAGTAGGGGTAGGGAGTGTAATTTTAAATAGGGAGATTAGAAAGGGATGACTGAGCCATGCCGCCAAGTGAGGAAATGTGGTTCCAGGCAAAGGCCCTGAGGCAAGAGGGCCAAGGTAGCTGTTGGGGAGCGAAAGAAGGGAGAGGCTAGCTGAGGCCAGAGAAATAATGAGCTGTGTTGAGAATGGCTTTGTAGGCTTTATGAGAACTTTCACTTTTATTCTGGGGGAGAATGGGAAGAACCATTGGAAGTTTTGAGCAGAAGAGTGACATAATCTGCCTTCACGCAACAGAATTTTTAAAGCTTGAGATTAGTTTGTAGGAGGCTAAGGGTGGAAGCAGGGAGACCAGTAATCAGGCAAGAGGTAATAGTGGCTTGGACCAGCTTGACAGCAGAGGAAGAGGTGAGAAGCAGTTTGTTTCTAGGTATATTTTGTAGGTGGAGTAAAAGTGTTTTTATCACTAATATCAAATAATTCAGTCATAGCTTTAAGTTTTATAAACTACCATTGAAATTTTTTTCCTTTTTTCCCCCCTCACCTCTGACTAAAAAAAGTTTGACCAAAAGGAAAAAAAAAAATGTATGTACCCTGATTTAGTTCTTTGACCCCAATGCAGGAAAATTTCCCACTAATATTTCATAAATGATGCAATCTGACCAGATCAAGCTGAACCCTCACGTTACCTTCAGTGTTAACACAAGTTTTAGAAAAGTGCCATGAGGGCATACTTCCTTTGTACCTCTTTCTTCTTGGAAGTTCCTGTTAAAGATCTTGGCTTAGGAACTTAAGGTGTCAGGGTATCCCTTCTTGTTGGAAGTCACTCAGGGTAAGATCATTGACACCTAGGCCGCTTTACAAACCAGAACAAGTCGTAGAACACCATGGATGGTGAGGGAATTTGTTTTCCTTTCAGAAAGTCTTCCCACACTCTTCCACTTGCTGTCTGACATTTTCTGGTAAGCAGCTGTTGCACACTGAGTGCTAGTTCTAGTTATCTCATTGAAAATACTGTTTCCAGAGTACAATATGTCAGGAAAAAAATGGTGTAGCTTCTCTCAGATATAAATTACAAAGGGCTATATTATGCTTGGTGTGTTCTAAGATTACCCATTAGACACCTTTGTGAGAATGGGTACTACGTACCTAACCCAGAATTAAAATAATGATGAAGTAGTTAATTTAAGTTGAGATCAGACTGGGTATATGTGTATGATTGTATTTATAAGGCATGTAGAAGTGTTGGTGTGTTAGCATTGATGGGTTGTGGTGAATTTATTCCCCATTTTTAAACATTTGTATTTTTTAAATCATTTTTTTTTCTACCCTTAAAGGTTTTGGCCCCCTTTAATTTCCAGTAGAATGTCTGGCACTACATTTCGATTAATGTCTTCTTAAGAAGCGAGCTGTCACATTTGAAATGATCAATTTTTGATAATTCTCTGTAACAATCAGCGATTGGCTTTTTGCCCTATTTGCCCCATCTTTCAAAGGAGATAAGACAGATTATTTCTATAACATGCTCCGTCTTCCCTACGCACCACAGGAAGAATGTAGTTTCTGGTCAAATTTTGGGTATCTGTTTATCACAATGTGTATCTTACTCTTCCTTCTGTGTTTAAATATGTAAATCATTTAGTCAGTTGTTATTTTTAAAGTAGGTCTGTCCTAATTAAACACAAAAAATCTTAAGCTTATATCTATCTTTTCGTCTTTTCTGGGCAGAGAGGCAGATGAAGGCTGTAAAAAACCTTTAGAAAGATTGCTGAACATCTGGCAAGAAAGAAGTGTGTATGGCGGCGAGTTCATACAGCAGCTGAAGCTGTCTATGGAGGACTCCAAGAGCCCTCCCCCCAAAGGTAGAAACATCACCACATGTTTACAGCTCTTGGTCTTTGCCTACTTTCGAATCACATATGAAAAGCTGCAGTGGGGGTTGCTGTGAACCACCAGCGATTATATGATTCTTCAGAGAGATGAACATAAATGATGGTGAGAATTTATGTAGTGCTCGCAGCGTGTAAGCCTGGTTCTAGTATTCATGCTATTCATCATCTCACACCCTTAACTTTTGCTGTGTATTCTCCTTGGCTCTCTTCTGCCTTGCAGAGAGTTTCCTTGCACAAGGGAAAGGAACAACGTTGTTTAGTTGTGGGGAACTAGGAGGCACCTTGGACAAAGATTTTGTCCTAGCCCTGCCACTGACTACTATGGGGTCTTGAATATGTCTGTTAGCTCTTTCAGAGCTTGGTTTCATTAAATATTGATGTGGTTTTGGAACATACTTTTGATGTTTGTCAGCTTGCTGTCTATAATTGATTTTGGTCTTTACTGAACCCAGGATATCCTCCAGAAGCGTGTACATGTATGTGTGTGAACCTCACCAACTCCTCTTAAGAGCTTATGTTCTTTTTTTCTTTAAAGAGGAGTAAGATCAAACATTATTTGGTTCGTGGGTTTGTGGTTAGTTGCGGTTTAATTCTAGTTGGCATGACGTGTTTCTGAGCTACAGATCTGATCTGACTGCACACAAACTCATTGCCTGGAAGAACAAGTCTTAAGTACTAACATAGTACTTAGGACCCTTTATAATGTGAACTAGTTTACTTTTCCAGATTCTTCTGCCATTTCCTCGCATACACCTTGGTCTTTGGCCATACCCAATAGTTTCCCTTCTGGATGCTCTCAGGGTACCTCTTCCGTTGCATCTGGTGTTACCTCTGCCTGAAATGTCCTCTGCCCCTTTCACTGGGTGGTGAACTCATTCTTTAGGAATGCTCTTCTCATTTTGACATTTTCCCTACGTTGTCTGGGCACATGTAGCCCCTCCCTCCATGTTCCTCTGGTACTTTATACATGCCTCTGCTATAGCATTCAACCATGATTAGTTTACCTGATAATTTCATTCATTCAGCAGCCCTTTATTGTGTACCTTTCATGATCTCTTCCAGGTCTGAGTTTACACGCATTTTAAGATGGGGCAACTTTCCCATAAAACTATAAATTAGAGGCTTTGTAAGAATGACGTAAGTGCTTTCAGACTGCAGGTCATTGTTGTTTTACTTAGAGTTGATGGGAAACAATTTTGAGGTCACTCTGGTAGTAGCTTCTTAAAAGCAAAGTGTTCCCTACTTTGGATTCTGGTAGTCTTTGTATTGTATCTTTTGGAGGTGTGCTGCACAGTGTTAGAGAATTATTCAGCATTCTTTTCTCTACTCTTAGACGTCATTGGTAAACAGTGCTGATTTTTTAAAACATCTTTGGGCAAGTAGGGGAGCTCTGAAAGACAATGTTGGAAGCCAAGTGTTGAATTTCAATTCGACAAGCATTTGCCAGACATGTGCTTTGAGTAAATGGCTATGCTAGATGCTATAGGACTGAGCAGAGGGTGGGGCAATAGTTTTGCCCTTAGGGAGCAGTCAGGCAAATTGGGGAGTTTGTGGCAGTGGTAGATTTGAAAATAGCTCTGTTGGGTTTCTGATTTTTTTGAGCGTCTAGACATTAACAGCCGTTGAGGCAATATTCCTCCGTGTGGAGGATAATGCTGATCTGAAGGTGATTTCTCTTTCTCTGTGCTGTAAAGATGGAAACACATACCAAAGGTTCCAACATGTATATTAGTCTCAGCTAACTCAGTCTGTCTCCTCATCATCTTCTTTGGACCTGAGTTTCAAAATATTTTACCTCAGTCCTTTCAAAATATTGATGAGTTCTCCAGAAGTTTATTTCCAAAATTAAATAGTCCTTTTATATTTCAGCTTTGATTCATGGATATTTCTTTGTCTTGAGACAACTCTAGAATTTCCCTTTGAAATAAAAATTTTCCTGTGGAACTTTGACAGTAGAGAATAAATAAGCTTAGGAATTTTGTTTTAGAGAATTGGAACTTGGGTTTATATACCCGTTTCCCCATGTGTAAGACCCAGGTGTTCTAAAGTTGTCTCTCTATTCTTGGGCATACTCAAGCTGTCACTGGACTGAATGGAATTTCATTATTTACTTAAGTCACACATGAGTCACACAGTATCCTACAGTTGTAGGAGGATTTAGAAAAGAAAGGTAGATACAAAGGAAATAGCATTTATTGAGCATCTATTATGTTCCAGCCTCTCTGTTGGCTGCTTTTCATGTTAATTTATTTTAGATTCTTACAACTCCTCTATGAATTTGGTATTATTTTCTTATTTCAGGTGAAGATACTAAGGCTCAAAAGGGTATAGTGATTTTGTCCAGATATAATTAATAAGTGGAGAATTCATGTTCTGGCCTGTATGACTTTAAAGCCTGTGTTCTTCACACCATACTTTTTGCTGGAAGCACATGTATTCAGTAGATTTGAATTAGGATATGAATTCATGAGCAGGTCACCCAACTTTCCTGGACCTTAGTATAGGTAGTTTAGCTATTCCAAGCAAGGGTTTAAAACCAGGCTTCCAGAATATGAATCCCCGCTCTGTCACTTCCACGCTGTGTAACCTAGGGCATAGCATTAGACCTCTCTGAGCTTCAGGTTCTTCACTGTACCAGATGGCTGTTAGTAGTAACACCTCACAGCACTGTCGTAAAGATTACTTGAGATGACATAGGTAAGATGTTATTAATGAAGGGACGATATGACTTTTATCTGAGCCGCGCTCCCTGTTTCTAATAGCTAATATTCTGAGTTTCTCAGTATGATCCAGTGGCAAACATAGGAGGAGAATTGTTAGTATTTTTAGTTCCCCAGATTTTGTGTAAGATTAGAAGGCATAGTGGTTGAGAGCACAAGCTCCAGGCCCAGCTTCCCCAGGTTTAAGTCTGGAGCTGGCCACTCAGCTGGAGACGGTACTAGTGAAGTGCTTTCAGGATAGTAGGTCCAGCGTCAGACTTTGGCTGCAGAGCTTTCTCTTTCTGTGAGTAAAGTTTAATGTGTTCCTTTTAAAAGTTGCCTTTATTTTGCAGGGAGAGAACAAAGAATGTGGGGGCTGTTACAAACAATATTTCCTGATTCTTTTCTCTTTATAAAAGTAATATAAAATTTGTGGGTATTGGGGTTTTTTTCCGTTTGTTTTTTATTTGTTTTGTTTTGTTTATTTTTTAGTCCCAGAAAATTTCAGGTGGATTCTTTGGAAGACCTAGCTTTACAAGTAGATGGCTGCATTTTATAAAGTGTTTGGGAGACTTCAGGCTAACTTTTTGCCTTAATATTAGTTTTGTAGTCTGCTGTAGTATCTAAAATTCTACCACAGTCAGGTCTCCAAGAGATGTATTATAAATGCTTAGGGAACCAGGATTGCTTGAATGTTAGCCAAGTACAAGACCCCAAGAGACACAGGGACAGGTTGGGGGATAGAGTAGAGAGTGTATAATATGAGGACAGGCAGACTGGGGCCACCCGTAGTGTTTGCCCTGCCTGTAAACGGAGTGGTTGAGTGAGTCAAAAAGCAAGTGTAAATGCTATGGTCAGAAGCCGAATTGATAGTGGGAGGGTGCCTTGTTTTAAATTCACTAATAGGAGTGGGACTGACAGATTTCCTAGGCTATTTTTAATAGCTGCCTGCCTAGATTGAGAATGCTGGGCATTATAATTGCTAACTTTGTACAGATGAGTCAGGGGACAGTTAACAGAGCAGGCTGTCCTGTTTGTGTAAACGGAGGCATATGGTCGTCTTTGGTTCAGCGCTGGCGTCTTCCAAGCTCTGTGCCACCTCTGCTTTCAAGAAGTTTCCAACTCAGGTCTGGTGACACATTTCTAGGTATTATAGGGCTATAAAGAAATAAGATACTTAAGGTTTCTGTCAGAGAGGTGAGGCCTGTGCCTGCCGGTGGCCATACAGCACAGCAAGGGCCGGGTGCTGCGGGAGTAGAGGAAGATGATGGCTCAAGATGCTGCTGCCTTTACCATGGGTAGGCTTTGAGCATAGGTAGAAACTGTAATATCGTTAGGGGCCATTCCGGGTTTTTGAGTAGAGGCACAGTGGGCCATTCATTTCATGAGAGTGTAGTCTAAGTTGGAAAAGGAGTGACTAGCGGCAGGGAGACCAGTTGGGACAGTGGTCTGCACAAGGCAGGGAAAAGGGCACACTTCTGATAAGAGGCGATAGGAAGAAACAGAATGGAAAGATCTATAAGATAAATCTCAGAAGTGTAGAGTCGGCTGGAAGTTGGGACTTTAGGAGAGATTCTGGTGGTCTCCAAGGCATTGTACTTGGAAGATGGGGCCAGTGGAAGTGTTCATAGTATGAGTAGGTTGCTCAGGAAAGGAGGAATCTTATGAAGAAAATGATGAATAATTCATTTCCAGTAGGTTCTCCAAGTGCAAATAGGAGAGAACTGAAGTAGGATGACAGTGGTTATCTCTTATCACACCCTCTTCCATCAGGATGGCCAAGGACAGAAATGGGCCTGCAATTATTTTCATAAGTTTGATTTCAGTCTTGTAATGCTATGAGTGAGTGACAGTATGAAGTGGTAAAAAGTTACTCCAGTTTAGGGGGCAGGTGACTTGGGCTATAGAGCCCAGACTTACACTAATGAGCTCCTCGACTGTGGACAAACCACAGCCTGTGGGCCTGGATATATGCTCATGAAAAACAAGGTGGGGAAAGCAAAGATGTAGGTCTATCTAAGGCCTTCCAGTGCCCAAATTCAGTGATTCTCAGGGTCCTAAGGTATAAAGTGGTATGTGGTTTTTATATATAATAACTTCTGTATGAGAGTTTGAAACTGAAGGATTCAAGTTTTGTAATTTTTCTACCTCCTTTAGTGTATTTAACAGTTCTTTCATTGAGCACTGTTCTTTCATTGAGCACTGTTCTTTCATTGAGCACTGTTCTAGATGCTTGGAAGTGAACAAAAAACTACTAAAAAAATTTTTTCGCTTATGTGCTTATATTTTAGTGGCAACTCCTAACGCATGGCCACTTTGATGCTTTGTGGTGACTAAGTGTCTATGAGGGTCATACCACTCTGCACATTAATTAGGCAGCTAGTGTGTGCTAAGTACTGTTAGATATCTCATATGCAAATTATATACTGTTAGATTTTCTGTTTTACAAATATAGCAGTCCTTGTTTTGCATAGCGCAGGACTGTAAAAATGACTATGTAAGCCAAAACCATGCAAAATGATCTTAATAATCAATGGGAAAAGTTTTGATTTTTCTATGACTTTTAAAATTTTTTTATCAAAGAATTGAAAACTCACTGTTGATTACAGATCTATAGGGAACAAAAAAGATAGTAACACTAATAGTTACCTAGCATGCTAGAACATAAAACACTAGGAACATTGAGAATTAAAGTGCTTTATTTCTTTGTAATGAGCTTCACAAGAGGGATTTGACCAGAGAGAGCTTGCCTTGTGTAGTCCATGGTACGGAGCAAGCATCCTCCAAGTTTGGGTCGGCTTTCAGCGGTTTACCCTTAGTGTTCTCCGGGTCATGACGTATGTTGGAGAGTTCCTATAATGTGAAGAGTTTTGTCAGCATCACTTCCTCTGGGACATGGTCGTCCTTGTCATCACAATTGATTTCTTCACTTATTTTGATAAATTGGCTTTCACCAGGTGATTCTGGCTGCGGACCTAGAGTTTCTGGAAGGGTGTGGCCGTGCCAGCGTCCCCGTGGCCAGCTGTGTCTTCTGCCAGCTCCCTTTACGTTCCATTTGCTTCTAGCATGAGCTTTAGTTTTAATTTTGGGGCTGCTCTTTCATCTTTGTCATTTTCAGTCAGTTCCCTGTTTTGATTATTCATTTTTATGAAATGTCATGTGAATTTGATCCCTGGGAGACAACACAACCAAACACTGCTGTTTGTGTGTGAACTGAAATAATAGCGGTGCAGTGACCAACCAGTGACCTGAAAGAAGTGATGTGGTCACTGATCATGATGCATTTCTATTACTTACGCAGTGATTTGTGGATTGAAGTTAGCAGCAAAGTTTGTTCTTTATGCAGTTACTCTGAGTGAATATGCCACAGTAACAAATTTGAACCGTGGTGTGGTGTCGGGGGACTGGTGTTGAAACCTTGGTAACAAATCTGTGCATAATAGAATCTTGCAAAGTGAGGGCTGCCTTGATGCAAATGTTGCTGTTTTCCTTTATTTAGTAGAACAGAGGAACAAACCCATGATATTGACTTGGCTTTCACATCAAGCATAGTTTGGTCAGTTAATGTGTAAGGTAGGACCAGGAACTACATCCTTGTTTCCAGGAAAAAAATGTTTAATGAAGCAAGATGTGCACGTTATTATGTTTATAACTCACAGAGTTCAGAGGCAGGTGCATGGTGATCCCTCCTTTGGCAGATGAGAGAGTGTGTGCTGCTGAGGAATTTGACTGCGGTGGGAAGCGCACAGATTTTGAAAGTCCCACCTTTAGACCAGTATTGAACTTCTCGGGGCCTCCATTTTCTCCCCTGCAAGCTGGAGATAGTACATCTCAGAGCTGCCAGAAGGACTCAGTGTACAGAAGCTATTGCCGTGCCTGCCACACGTTACCAGCGTTTCTTTATTTTCCAAGCCTGAGCGTGTCATTTAGACTTATGTCCCACAGATGTTTGACATTTATTTTGTATTGTCCAATTTGATACAAAAGTAATGATTTTGGAATGGGCACATCTATCATAGCCATTTAAAAGCATACAATACAAATAATAAGAAATGTAATGTACCCTGTTTGCCTCAAAAGTGGTTAACTTTAAAATAGTGACTTAAGTAACTTCTCTCAGTTCTATCAGTCGTATTTCTCAGCAACGGTTATTTTTAATTTTAAGGTAAAATAAGGTTTGTTTTGTTTCTAAAGGGAGAGTTTAAAGAACATGATGTGTAGAATTTCTGACACGATTTTATTGATAGGTTTCTCTCTACTACAGGTTTTCCCTGCTGTCTGAAATTAGACCATTCCTATGAAACATCTCCTAAGCCGAAATGGCATAAAGTGAAGAAGCAGTTACCATTAATTTATATGGAAAACTTTTTGAGCATTCCCAGACCCCAAAAATAACTTCTCTCAGGCTTTTCTGATACCTCAGGCCACATCTTGCTAACAGATGCACAGAATAAATCGAGATAAAACACAGATGCTCACAGCTCTGGTGGCTTGATGCTGAGATGCCAAGTGTAGTGGCTGGGAAGGAGCTTAGCGGGGCCGCTCTGGCTGCTTGGGGTGCATGCTGCCTCTATAATAATCGCTCCCTGCAACACACATGCTGACCACTATTTTCACTTTGTGTCTTTCTTTGTGAAAGTGAAAATCCTCTTTGAATTTCTTTTGGTTAGTGAAAACAGGTACTATTACTGTAGGTCTTTCATAAAAGCAAGCTTTAGAAAAGTGAGGAATACCTGTTTTTATTTTCTGAATTATCTTGCAAAGTGAATAGTGTTTCATTTTATATGCAATGTATTTTCTACAAACCCTGCCTTACATTGGCTTCCTTCCTTTTATTGTCTCGTGGGTTTCTTAACCACTTTGCTTCTCTTGTTAACTTTTATTTTTAAGAGATAAGCTTTTTAATTAAATGTGTTAAGTTTGGTAAGTTTCATTTTCAGATGCTTGTTTTTGGTAGTCTTTTTCCAGTGAGTCAGTCCGAAATGACAGACCTGAGACCATTTTTGACTCTTCAGTAATGTAGGGAACTACCACCAATTTAAAATAACTAGCATATAGGCTAACGTTAAGCCATCTTTGGAAATGTACACCTCTTTTGCTATTTTTTTTCATGTGGCCCATTGTGCATAGCGTTTGACTCTTACCTGCACAGGCTCTCATGACCCAAATTTGTGCCCTTTTTCTTTCCTCTAGCAACAGAGGAGAAGAAATCTCTGAAGCGAACTTTTCAGCAGATACAAGAGGAGGAAGATGATGACTACCCTGGAAGCTACTCTCCCCAAGATCCTTCTGCAGGACCCCTCTTGGTATGTCAGGACTCCCAGAGAGTAGGACACAGTGGCTTAGTGGAGGGACTGCTAGTTGAAGATTATGGCCACAGGGTGGCGCCAGGGACCAATAGTACGGAATCACTAGAGGGCAGCTCTCAGGGCACTGGGTGCAAGATCTACCCAGTAAAGCTTGCCAGATAGCAGGCTTGCCTTTGTCTTTGCATGCCATGGATGGTATGGATTTATGTGTTATACGGTATTTGGACTTGGCTTTGTTTCACTCCTAGGACTTGAAAATATTCTCAAAAAGTAGATTTTTTTTGAGAGGGTAGATAATGCTACAAAGACATTTGAATGTCCTCTGCCATGGCTTTTCTCCTATACATGGTTATGTTATATAAGTAAACAACTCATTAGTTTTTAGGGTAGTCTGTGTGGCAATAGCAAATTTGCTACTTAAATATTAAAATGGAGCTGAGTTTTTAATTATATATTTGCATTGTTTAGCCCTTCATATAAATTAGCTGATGAGCTCTGTGTGATTGGTTAATTTTTGCTGTTTATTTCTTTACTTACTAATTTACTTTATTTACCATCAAAGAAAGTGAGGCTCAACGAGAGATTAACTTGCCCAGTGTCTTACTTTGAATCTGGGTCTGACTGACCTCAGAGACCATGATCTTTACTGAGTTACATGGCCTCTCATTTTGCCTAAAACAGTTTTACTTTATTATACATGGGTGTGGCTAAGGTCCATGTAAATAGGAAGCATGTCTGGTCTGTGTTACGTTAAAATGTTGAATTAGATGGTGGGTTAAGTGAAAACAGTGTTAGGCCGTGTAGCTTTGCGTTTAAAAACTTCCAAGGGGGCCAGCCTGAATTATTAACTTTCAGGATAACTGGACTACCGTCTACATGGCCAGTTTCTTACTCCTGGGTCATGATGGACTGGCGAACCTGTCAGCATTCATTGTTTTCTGATGATTTTTTTTTAAATATTTAATGTATTTATTTGTCAGAGAGAGAGAACGAGTGAGCACAAGCAGGGGGAGCAGCAGGCAGAGGGCAAGGGAGAAGCAAACTCCCTGCTGAGTAGGGAGCCCGATGCGGGACTCGATACCAGGATCCTGGGATTATGACCTGAGCCGAAGGCAGAGGCTTAGCCAACTGAGCCACCCAGGCATTCTCTTTTCTGATGATTTAAAATTATCCTTTTTAGTGTATAAAGTATGTGTTCTTGGTTTGCTCTTTTCTTAGTCTTTTTCCCCTCTGTTTGTAATTAATGAGTTGACACATTTAATTTGGGGAGTGGCTGCCAAAATGGAAACTGTCATCTTTGTGACACTCATTTTGTAAAGCAAATTCAAGAAAGAATTGAAGTAGGCAGTGTCATTTCGTTTAATCAAGTCAGCACACAGTTGTTCAACATCTGGTACGTACACCTTTATGCTATACTGGAGACCAGACCATTCTGTATTAGAAATCATACATTATTTGAAACTAAGCAATTAGAACCAGGCTCCTTTTTTTTAAGTTGCCAAAAACATGCTCTTTTTAAAAAGATTTTTTTTTTCAGGTTATGTAAAATTTGTTCATGTTCTGCTATCGACTTAGAAAAATTAACTTTGCACATTCTCTTAGAATCCATCATCCAATCCAATCACTGGCCTCAGTATAGGCTCTGGTACTAAGGACAATATTTTTGTAAATGTCCGGAGCATGATCATTTTTAGAATTTTCCTTCACCTCATTTAATTCTGGCTAACTTTCTTTAAATCCCATATGTCTTAATGGACAGTGTTGTTTGTGCTTTCATTGTACAGACTGAGGAACTGATCAAAGCTTTGCAGGACCTGGAAAATGCTGCATCAGGGGATGCTACTGTCCGGCAGAAGATTGCTTCTTTGCCCCAGGAAGTGCAAGATGTTTCTCTGTTGGAAAAAATAACAGGTGAGAAGGTAGAGTTTGGATGAAAGGTGAGGGAAGAGGGACATTTCTCTAATTTGTCAGACCCTAAGACATGCTTACGTTTGCAGATACAGACGACTTCTATGTGGTACTGGGTTTTGCAAACAGCGAAGCTGTTGAAACAGTCCATGCTTGAAAAGTGATTCTAGGAACGGGAGAAATGCTGGCATGCCATGACGTTGCGGGGGCAGGATAGAAGACATTAAATTCATGATCCTCTTACTAAAAAAAATTATGATTCAGTGCTCTGTGATTTATACCCTGCACACAGACACACCCCATAGATGATAGTGCCTTTAATGCCAAGAACGCAAGGTGTATATTGTTAGTCATGTCATTTTGCCCTCTTGATGCTCACCCCAGTTAAACACGGAGGGACATGTCACATTATTCCCGCCTTATCCATGGGAAGTTGAAAGGAAGGAGTGAAGCACGAACTAATACTTAGAATGCTCTGTGCCGGATACTTCTACTCCTCGTGACAACCTTTTGAGGTCACTGACTATATATCCCCATACTGCGTAGAAGGAAGTTGAGGCTTTGAGAGGTCAGGTGTCTTCGGGCAAGAATAGCAGTTCCATTTTCCTTACAGCATTTGCTCACTTCATGTCTCTGTGTCCCATTTTGGTAATTCTTGCAATATTTCAAACTTCTCTTTTATTCGTTACGATGATCTGTGATCAGTGATTAGGACTCACTGAAAGTTCAGATGATAGAATTTTTTACAACAAAGTATTTTTTGATTACAGCGTATACATTTTTTTTAGACATAATGCTCTCGCACACTTAGTAGAACAGTGTAGTGTAACCATAACTTCTGTATGCATTGGCAAACCAAAAAACTCATTTGACTCCTTTATTGCGACATTTGTTTCATTTCAGTGGTCTGGAACTGAACCTGGCAATATCTCTGAGGCACACCTGTATTTTAAAGGTGGTTGGGGAAAACCTTTCTGATGAGATGACCTTTGATCAGAGGCCCCCCCAAGATTAGGAAGCGAGCCATAAGGATATCTGAGGGAAGGAAGTGCTACACAGGCAGAAGGTACAGTCTGAGTAAAGACTTCAGGTCAGAAGCATGCTTAAGCTGCAGGACACAGCATGGAGGCTCTCTAAATCCTACAGGCAGCATTTGGGCTCACTCCTACTTCCCCAGCTCCAGCAGTTGGACCCTACTAGATCTAACAGTCTGTTAATCCTTCCACCTTTTCTCAGCCTCCACTCCCCTGCAGCCTTACTTTCTTCTCTACTTAGCACAGAGTCTTTATAGTCGCTTCCTTACATACACCCTCAGTCTCTGTTTTTCTCTTTCCTCTTCACTGTAGTCTTCTGGCAAAACCCCAGCTTTTCTCTTGGCTAAGTCCAACTTTTGAGGTTATTATAATGATCAACTCATTTATTCTTAATATCAGAATCATAGTCTGTAAAAATTGGGAGCAAATTAACATAAAGCTAGCAATGTATGTGATTTATCTGTTTTCCCTGACCTAAAGGTCTCATGTCTCATGGCCCTTTTTTTTTTTTTTTTTTTTAAGATCTATTTATTTGTGTGAGAGAGAGTGAGTGTAGGGGGAAGGCTGGGGGTGGGGGGCAGAGGAAGAGGGAGAGAGAATTTCAAGCAGATTCCCTGCTGAGCCCGACGTAAGGCTTGATCCCATGATCTTGAGGTCATGACCTAAATCAAGAGTCGGACCTTAACCAACTGAGCCACACAAGCGCCCCACTTTTTTTAAATGAATAAAAAATTCATTTTGATTTTTAATTGCAATAAAGTACACCTAGTTTACGTTCTTAACCATTTTTAAGTGTACACTTCAGAAGCACTAAGTACATTCACATTGTGCAACCAATTTCCAGAACTCTTGACTAAACTAAAACTTTATACTCATTTAATAACAACTCATTTCCCCCCCTCAGCCACCATTTCTAAATCCAACTTTTCCTTTGTTCTTTCCTGGAGCTGCACAGCTGAGTGTGGCTGGGAAAAACAAATAACACATATAAGCTGACTTTTCTTCCTACTTCTGTGGGTGAACATGTCATTTTCTTTTTTTTTTTAATTTTATTTACTTGACAGAAAGAGATCACAAGTAGGCAGACAGGCAGGCAGAGGGAGAGGGAGAAGCAGGTTCCCTGCTCGAGATGTGGGCTTGATCCCAGGACCCTGGGATCATGACCCGAGCCAAAGGCAGACGCTTAACTGACTGAGCCAGCCAGGTGCCCCAAACATGCTGTTTTCTAAACCAGCCCCCTACCTGTTTGTTAGTCCTGTTCCTTCTCACTACTCAAGGACATTGCTCCGATAATTGTCCATTTTTTCCCTCTACTGGCTCGTTCTGCACAGCATAAAAACATGTACTTTTTTCCCACGTGGGAAAAACTTTTGACCCATATACTTGCCTTATTTCTCTGTTCTTTGTAATACCGCATTCTAAATAGATTGCCTGTGCTCATTTGTCTCCCTTTCCCCTCTTCCCATTCTCTTTTGGTTCCACTTTACTGAAGCTGCTCTTATCAGTGTTGTTGATGACTTCCATGTTGCTAATTCAGTGGTGAATTTTTGCCCAATCTTTACTTGTGGTCGTCGTAACTTGATCTTAGTAACATTTGGCTCAGTTGGGCATTTCTTCTGATTTGGTGCGGTAGACAGAATAATAATACCCCTGGCCCACCCAGACATCTGTGTCCTAATCCCCAGAACCTGTGAATACGTGATCTTACATGGCAGAAGGGACCTTACAGACGGACGAAGTTAAGGATCTTGAGGTGGGGAGGAGTATCCTGGATGATTCTGGTGGGCCCCATCTAGTCACAGGGTCCTTCTGAGAGGGAGGCCGGAGGGCAGTAGTCAGAGAAGGAGATAGGACCCTGGAAACAGTCTTTGGAGAGATACATTTTTAAGATGGAGGAAGAGGCCATGATAATAAATACTAAGATAATACGTTTGTGTTATTTTCAGCCACTGAATTGGTGGTAAATTTGTTGCAGCAGCAACAGGAAAAGTAGGGCTCTATCCTAGCTTTTCTCTCCTTCCTCTGGCTCTGGCTCTTTAGTTTCCTTCGCTGGTTTCTTCACCCCTCTGTTACCTCTTAATGTTGAGTATTTAGCGCTCTTTTCTAGTTAGTTTCACTGACAGTTCCTCTTATCCAATTTGATGACTTTAAGTAATTTTTAGACTAATAATTCCCTAAATTACATCTCTAGTGTTGACTTGTCACTTGAACTTGAGACCTGTACATCCAGCCTTCTGCTTAGTGTTACTAGTTGTCTGTCTCAAAAACCATTTCAAACTTGACCTATCTCAAACCAGACTTGTCATCTTCTCTCCAAAATTCAGTGCTCTCACAGTCTTCCCCTTATCAGTAAATGACCCCCTCATCATTCCTGTTGATCGGACCAAAACCAGTGTCTGGCCCCAGTATCTTATATTGTCACCACTTCCACTGCTACTACCTGGTGCAAGTCACCAACATCTTCACTGGGATTATTGCAAGCGTTTCCTCTTTGGTCTCCCTGCTTCCTCCTTATCTCCCACCCCCAGCCATCGCTCTGTTCTCCACATAACTAGAGTAACCGGAGTGATCTGTTCAGATGGAAGTTAGACCATGTCCCCTCTGCTCAGAGCACTCCAGTTATATGGGCTCCTTGCCAGGCACTTTCCTCTTCTAGGACTTTGTACTTGCTGTTCCCTCTGCTTGGGATGATCTTCCCCGGATAGTCAAATTCATGTGGCTTGTTCTCCCACTTTTTCCAGGCCTTGGTTTACATACCACCTCAGTGAAGCTTATCCTGACCACCACATTTAAAAGTGTTATTTCTCCTTCTGAATGCCCCATGCTTTCTCCTCTGCCTTTTTTTCTCTAGAATTCTGATCTTCAGCTGATAAACAAGTAAAATGTGGTATATTGTTTCTCTTCTTACCTGAGAATGTAAACTTCTTGGGGCAGAGAGTTTTTGTCCTTTGTGTTCCCTGTTGCTCTGAGAGCCTATTATGGTGTTGGGCATAATAGGAGCCCACATATTTGTTCAGTTAATTGGAAGGTTTGGGGCCTAACAGTCTGATTGAGGTGGGTTAAGTGACAGTGGTAGGAGAGGAGGCGGGTATGAGGAGAATGATCAGCTCTCCTGAGGAGTTCTGTAAAGGAGGCAGGGAAATGGGGCAGTAGCTAGAGTGACATGTGGACAGAAGGTAGAGCAGCATGTTCGTATGCTGATGATAGTGCTGGCGGAGGAAGAGAAGGAAGTTGAAAGGTGTGGGGAACAGTCACAAGGGACAGTCACAGCAGCAGAATCTTGGCGTGAGCGAGAGGGAATGGGATGCCCTTGCTCTTGGTTTCAAGGCAGTGATCTATTCTTTTGACCCTTAAAGGCCTTTTTAAAAATGCTGTGTACATATTAGAGCTCCAGTTTCACCAGACCCACATGAAATTAATTTTATCAGTTCTTTTCTAATACAGCTCATCCTTTTGTCACTCCCTCCCATTTCCTAATGTTGAGCCTTCTTCACCTCCTCTTTCCAAGGATATCGTTTCTTATACTTTGATACTTCAGCACAGTTTTTTCTCAAACAGTGAGTTACAGCCCATTGGATGTGAAATCACTCTGGTAGGTGATGACCAAAATTATAAAAAAAGCAAAGAGTAGAAGATGGAACACTTTGCACATAGTAGGGATAAGTATTGCTTTATGAAATTTTCATTTCTTTCTATGTGTTTGCATAAAATATTTTTCTTACTCTGGGTCACGTTTAAAGAATTAGAAAGAACGTCTGTTCTTATCAGCCCCTATATTTTGCTGAATGGAAGAAGAGAGCTCCTGCCCAGGTTCAAGGCTTGTTTGTATGGTATACAAGGGGTAGAATCCTATTAGGTCCATTTTAGAGAAATGGTTTTGAGTCCCAACTCCTCTGCTAACCACGTGGTATCAAACCAGCCTTACAGCTTTTATTTGGTCTTAGTTTCCACACCCAAGAAATGAGTGTTTGCTTTTGTATTTCAGAAGAACGTGCAAAAAATACTTAATAATATGAAAGCGCTTTCGCAATTATCAGAGGCAAGGAAAAATTATTTCATGTATGACCTTAAATATCTCTGTTTGTTTTATTTGTAGAGCTTTTGCAGGAATAGGCATTTAGAAAACCTTTGCAGATTCCCCTCCTTGTATAGTTGCCACGTCAGGTAATTCAGAGATGTCCTGTCTTGTTAACAGGAGTGAGTCTTTTGGATTTCTCTGTCAGCCAGTCCATTGTTTGTCTACAGGTTCTGGCTTATTCTTGGACTCTGTACATTGGGAGAGAAACTGTTAACCTCCCCCAGAAATGTTTGCAGTCATGGCTGTGTGATTTCTGTATTATCTCTGTTTTTTGGTCTCATTTGTATATAGACAAAGAGGCAGCTGAACGTCTTTCAAAAACAGTAGATGAAGCATGTCTGTTACTAGCAGAATATAACGGGCGCCTGGCGGCAGAACTGGAAGACCGGCGCCAGCTGGCTCGGATGCTGGTGGAGTACACCCAGAACCAGAAAGATGTTTTGTCAGAAAAGGAGAAAAAACTAGAAGTGAGTACATCGCAAGGCAGACCCAGACTGCCCGTTTCCTTTCCTATAGTCCACAGTAGGAGGTTTCTTTATGCTTTCGTTAACATATTTTTTTGTCTTTTAAAAACTAATGAGATGAGAGCATCCATCAGATACTGTAATCGTTTGAACCGCGTTGAAAATTGAAGTCATGTTTTTGTGTGTCCAAGAAAGAACAAACCGGAATGCAAGAAATAAACCGTAAAGCATTTAGGAGCTTAATATTACTTCAGTTTGAACTCACACACACAAAAAAAATTGTAGATTGAGGTACAAAAAGAACAGGTGGTTGACAGAACTGAAGGATGTGTATTTGGTAGTATTTGGAAAAGACTTAAAATTGCCTTTCTTTTAGATTATATTGAGATTTATTTCTGACTTATATCCATGGTTAAGGCCAATAAGTAGTTGCCTCTAAGCTCTGTCTGCAATCAGTTCTTTTCTTTTTTAATTCTTCTAATTCTTTTTTTTTTTAAGATTTTATTTATTTGAAAGAGAGAGTGAGCGAGAGCAGGGTGAAGGGCAGAGGGAGAAGCAGACTCCCCACTGAGTAAGGAGCCCAATGTGGGACTCGATCGCGAGACTCCAGGATCATGACCTGAGCCGAAGGCAGTCGCTTAACTGACTGAGCCACCCAGGCACCCAGTCTGCAATCAGTTCTAAAATGTCACAGTAATGTTTTATGGAGTCCAGTTCTCAAACTGTTGAGAAAGAGCTACTTTCTACCCTGAGTTGGCATTAGCCTGAATGCCCTTGGGGAGGGTCTTCAGGATAGTTCCTTGCCATGCATTTATCTGGCTTCCTCAATAAGTACATGGTGGTTTAACATCAGTGCTTGCATAACACAGCCAGTGGTGTGGACATTTGGGAACCTTGTCTTGCCCTAAGCTGCTAGCGGTTTCAGGGGTGAAGACAGTTTTGAGGTGGAGAATCAGTCGAATATCGCAGGAAGCACCGGAGTAGGTAAGGGAGGGAGGGGATAGTCCCCCTCCCCACCCCAGCACTCAAGAAACATGTTCTCTGACACAGAGGAAGGGGAAACGGCGAGCTAGTCCTGAGGCTGAGATTATCATGTTTGCCTTTTCACATAGTCGCTGATTTGAGGAGGGCAATGAATGATGGGCACTTTTGATCCTATCCTTACCTGCAGGGATGGCGGGAGCAGGGCTGGGTAGTGGTTGGGGGAACTTCATAAGCCGTCCTGGAAGTAGAAGATGGGAAACGGTTGTGAGAGTAGTATGGCTTAGATTTAGAAATCGACACTGACCAGAAATCCTAAAGGGAGTTTCACAGGCGGTACCAGACGGTCATTTATCTGAAATGCTCATCTTTCACTGAGGAAGCATTTTCAGCACTGTGCCCCGGGACTAATAAGAGAGTGTAATTAATGATTCTGGTTGTAAGTCACCATGCCATCTGTTGAACTGCCCCTTGGCGACACATTAAGGGCCTTCTCTGATCTGTCAGACATTGATTATCATGAGCAGCTGTTGTTGGGTGGAACGTGGCAAGCTACCATAGAGGACAGAGTCTTTGAGAAGGAGATTGGGTTGGTAGAGTGGATTAACTCTTTGTTTATTTCCCTTCCTCACAGTTGCACTTGGCTCCCTATGTTTCTTGGGGGATCATTCTGGTTTCTTTAGAACCAGTGGTTTGTGAGATGCCATGAAAGGTCATTAAGCAGAGAGATGGATCAGAGATTCGGGTCTGTTCTGTAGCTTTCCAGCCCAAATTCCTCTGCTCATTTGGACACTGGGGTTCCGTTGCTTAAGAATCAGAACAGGAGACTCCCATTGCTGGAAAGTACAGATTCTGAGCTAAAGGTCCTTTCTTTTCTCAAACCATGTCGCTTAGCCACTTGAACAAAACCATTCACTGTAAAAATGAAGCTAAATTTGCTTATTTAAAAAATCAAAAGACTACATACAATGTAAGACGTTGAGAGCTGGCTTTAGTTTTTTCTTTATCCATGTTTGCTAAAAAATGTCTGCTTTCTAGAAATCATGATTTTTCTCTGATGTTCCAGAACAGACTGGTCTTACTCCACCATACTCTTAATGGTGATGGCAAAACTTGGAAAGTATATGGCACTTGAAAGATGATGCGTTACCAACATGAATTATTCTAAATCCTCACAGTTGTTCGTTGATGAAGGCTGTGCATCAAGTATACTTACCTTTTTAACATTCACTTATTTAACACTGGTAGTCCTTGTTTTTAAAATTGCCATATCAGAATATAAATGAAACCTGCTTTTATTTTTTAATTCTTTCATTACCTTTAATGTATGAACATGGAATTCTTAGAACTCTGGAAATGTCATGATTTGCTTGAGAGCCTGTTTTCTTCCCAAAGTTCAAATTTGTTAACACATGGGTCCCACCTGCCCGGTTTTTTTAAGTTGACCTCTTCCTTCATGTAACAAGCATACCTTTTTGTCTTTCACTTGAGAATCTTATGTTAGATTTCTGGGTGGCTCCTAAGCTTTGGGGTAGGGAATGTGATGATTCAGAGCCAAGGATGATTCAGATGCTGGCATATAGAAGGGGGCAGCTACAGCCCACAGAGGGAGATTGTGTTTCTGCCGTCAAGGAAGTCATTGTGGCATAAACAGCATCGATGAACATAAAACCAAACCAGGGGGATTGTACATAATGTGGATTAAGGAGGCAGTTGGCCACTCTGATTGTGGTTTAAGGTCAAATCCAAACTTCCTGGATGGTAGTAAAGGCTTTTTGTAAAAGGAAATCGCAATTGAGGAAGAGAAATAGGTTGATAAATGGGAAAGCCAGACTGGAGCAGACAAATGTGTGAAGAAAGACAAAAAAACAGAACGGCTGGGAGGGAAGTGCTACAGTCCTCCAATGGGAACCAGCCTCTGTACTCTTTAAGGAGCTGCTTATTTATTCATGAATAAAGTCAGCACAGCCTGTGCCAGTCAGAATTATGTCCCAAATGAGTAAGATGTGCTGCCTTCCCTCAAGGAGCTTACATTCTGTTGGGGGAGAAACAGCAGGAACCGGAGAGTTAGAAAGAAGTAAAGGGAACACCCTAGCTCACTGTGTCTGAGTTGAAATAGACGAGAAGATTAACATGTTGATAATAACACTAATTTGGCTAGAAGTTTGTTTTTATTAAACACATGGGCAGTTTCTGAACCCTGTAATACCCTTCAGCAGGTCTTCTGAAGTCTGCTAGCCTAGGTGGTCTTGGGCTCTTGCAGTGCAAGGAACATAATTGTTTCTCAATAAACATTTGTTCTGTGCATGAAATTTCATCAATTTTCTATAAAGAAGACTTTTTTTTTTTTAGGTTGCATGAAAAGTGGTTGGACAAATCTGATTTAATTTGTGGTAAAAAAAAGTGACTTTTTGATAGAAACTCCTATGGGTTTCTCATTTGTGCTTTTTTCCCCTTTAAGTAGAATCATGATTCATTTTGAGATGATAGGGTTTTGTTTTTTACCTGTTCTTTTGTTTTTTGCTTCTGTTTCTGGATGTTATGGTGACATTGGCCTACCACCTTTCCTTTAAACTCCAGGCAGGGTTAGAAGGGGGCTGCTTCAAATCTATTTGCAATGCTTTTGTCACGAACATGAGAAAACCTAGAGACGGGAAAGAGGGCATGTGGAGGGAAGCATAAATGGCAGCCTGGAGGTGGTTAAGAAGTGTGGAGGGTACAGAAGAAGGTTAATTCAAAAAAGTGAGGCCAAAGGTACCAGAAAAGCCTCCAAACTGCAGTTCTTAGAGCAAAGGGAAAGTTTGTTTCTGGTAGACAGAGGTGACTGTTACCCCAGTTGTCTGTTAGAAGCTCACAAGCCATGTCAGAATGGGTCGGATAGAGTTCCTGTCTTGTCAGTTTGGAGAAAGCATGATGTGGGTACGTTCATCTGAGTGATCAGGGCATGTGGGGGGGAAGGGGAAGGGATGGAGGAAGGGAATACAGATCTATTTGTACAAACATTGGAAAAAAAAATAAAAAAGGAGCAGGTACTCACTGTTTTACGACCATAACATATCAGTTATTTTCATTCACATCATGGTGTTTGGTTGTCATTTCTGCAAAAAAAAAAAAAAAAAGGTCATTGGAACTTTCATAGGAGTTGCATTGAATCTCTAGATTGCTTTGGGAACTATGGCCATTTTAACAGTCTTCAGTCTTCCAGTCCATGAACACAAGATTTCTTTCTATTTATGTAGATCTTTTAAAATTTCTGCTGCAGAATTTAAAAAAGTATGCTAGAGGCCCGCTTACTGGTGCATTTGACATTGCAAAGGCCCTGTTTAGGTGCCGCGCGTGTCAGGGACTACAGGAGAGGGCAGTGGTGTGTGCCGCCTTTTAGTAGGTGTGCGTACCCCCATGTTTACAAGACGTGCATACAGATGCGTGTGTGCTCAGCCAGGCCACCAAGGCGCAACCATGATAGCCAGCTTCACTTTTCCTCAAAATGAAGTGGCACGTCGAGGCCTGGGTGTCTACGTAAGTCGTTAACAGGACTGTTGAGCTGGATGGAACCTTAGACATCATGGAGTCTGACTCCTGAATTGGTGAAGAAACCAGACCCAGAGAAGGGAGTTTGCCACAGACCAGGAATAGAATCCAAGGCAGACATCTGGTAATTTTCCGCCAGGTTTGTGTTTTCCTTTGTTGTTGTTTTGTTTATTTTAAATTTGATTCCATCAGGTCAACAGCCGGAAGACATCCTACACAGAAGAGTAGCCAAAGTTGAATCACTTCAACAATCCCCAAGAACCTTGTTTTAGAAAAATGCCATCTATGTAGGGGGATTAAAATAGTTGCATGAAGCATTTCAGAGTGGCCTCTGAGAAGACCTTTCTAAGGTTTGAGAGAGCCGACTCTGCCCCCGAGGTTCTGAATACCCTCCTGGCTATGACTGTGCATGCTCTAGGGGGCGTGGGGGTGATTGGATCATTGAACTTGGGGCTGCTGCTGTTTCTCCCCAGCTTGGCACCTCCCCCTTG